AATAACATATAAGTAAAATATATAACAAAAATACTTGTGTCCACAGGTAGCTTCTGTGTGTTTCAACTTCAATCTCTGATGAGACCTTCAAAAATACAAGTTAGGGGCTGGAGAGATAGTAAAGTGGGGACAGAGCTTGCCTGCATGCAGTTAACCTGGGTTTCATCCCTGGCACTGCAGATGGTCCCTTGAGTCTGCCAAGTGTGATTCCTGAGCACGGAGTCAGGAATAAGCCCTGAGAATGGCCAAGTGTGGCTCACAAACGAACAATGCAATTTATCTTCAGTTATTTCCTGGCTAGGGGCAGCATTTGCTTTCTCTGCCTTCTTCAAGACTTCCTCACTCTTATAAGGCAGGGAAAGATCTGGTTTTGATCATTAATACTGAACAATGACACTGTAACTGATATTCATTTGTTCTAAATAATGAACCCCAATGGGCATACACCTTCTAAAGTTGCCTTTGATACTAATTGAGCAACAGACTTTCTTTTGAGGAGTCAACCTGCAAGCAGAGGGGGCAGGATGAAGAACAGGAGGCAGAGTAGGTACTATCCAGCTGTGCCCACTAAGATGAGCGTGCCCTGACAGACGAGAAGCAAAACATGGGGCAGCAGCAAAGGCTCTGGTTGGCAGTCAGCCTCCCGGCTGAGAGAGGTTCCTTTTCTATCTATGGTTCCTTTCCTGTCTGACATTTGTGACGTCTTTGCCCACTTCCCAAGCTCAATCCAACTATCTTACTTCCTGCTTTCCTCTTGAACCAGCCTACAGGCTTATGCACATTTTGATTAGAATCTGTCACCCAAAGAATCCCCCTCCTTCATTGGCTATAATGTTCTGGAATGCAAGTCCATATGCACTGTAACTCTAACTCATTTCCAACCACTTCTAACAAAGAACTCTAACTGGAATGAACTTCTTCATGTGCGTTACTAGGTCATAAAAATCCCGTCTTGATGAAAATGAAGAAAACTTCATAGATGCCATGGACTCAGGTTAAAAGGAGGGAAAAATATCAATTTGGGAACTATTTAGCTTCTATTAACTGACAGAAATAATTAGTACAGTGGTTTATATACCCACCAAGAATATAACAGTATATAATAAATATAGAAGTATTTATTCTATACAATAAATTTTATATAGACAATATTTATTATATATTATTTAGTACAATGTTTATTTTATACTAAGAAATATGTACTAAATATACAGAGGGTGGTGGTGGTTGGTGAACAAAGCATTATGGGATTGATCTGCACATAGTCCTCTCCACAATAAGCTACCCTCTGGGTGTGTGATGGGAAGTCTGGGTGCTGTCTGGCAACCAGAACTATAGGTCCAGCTGCCATCCTCCCTCTCCTTACAGAGGCAGGAAACAGTCACTGCTGCAGGCACTGGAGTGTCCTTCAGTCCTGACCCTGTGCCTTCCTCAGCCCAGGCTGGGTGGGTTCCCAGCTGCTTCTCTGGGGGCTGTGGTCGCTCTCTTCAGTTTCAGTCCAGACAGTGTTCCACATGAATACCCCCAAATGATGAGGTTGCGGAATCCAGCCAAAGTCATCATTCACTTTACTAGAGCATTTATTCATTTCCTTTCTCCTATTTAAGTACAAATAAAAACAAAGGGTGAAGAGTTTGGGAATATCTGGGAATGTGGAATGAAGAAGGAAGGACCCAAGAGGCTGCTTCATGGCTGAAGCTGCTATAATTACAAACAAATCTTTCCGAGAAACAAATGTTATTATGCTTGTGTGTAGGTGAGTGTTAAAAACACATGTTAAAAACCCACAAGTAACTGGCTTGGCAATAGTTTGCTGGCACAAAAATGTACCCCTCCCACTGCTACTTACACAGCACACTCAGTATTCTAAACATTCTCACAGAAACAACTGCTAATTGAATTCAGAGACAGCGGGGCGGACAAATGATCAGGTCTTTACCATTCTACTCTTCCTGCTCTTTTGCCTTTTATTTGTAAGAGCTTCCAGAAAGGATAACATCTAATACCAGAGTCGTCAATTCAAGTCTGGCCATCAGACCATCAGAGCCAAGAAAGAGTCAGCAATGGCAACTACCTGAACTATGACAAATAGTTTGCAAATGCTTTCACTTTATTACATACACGCTGACTCTGTCAAGAGATGAGTACTGCTTACTTTAGTGAGATTGGGTTGGAGAGCTAGTACAGTGAGTAGGCTGCTTGCCTTGCACATGGCTGACCCGGATTTAATTCTTGGAACCTTGGAACCTACCAGGAGTGATCATGAAAGCAAAGTCAGCGGTAAGTCTTAAATATTGCTGGTGTGGTTCAAAAACAATAACAACAACAAAACAAAACAAAAAAACAAAAGAAAAAAAGAATGAGGAATAAGAAACACATGTTAAATAAAAGTGCCTGAGTATTAAGTAGGGCTGGAGCAATAGCACAGCGGGTAAGGCCCTTGCCTTGCATGTGGCTGGCCCGGCTTATCCAGGTTGGCTTCCTCCGCCCCTCTTGGGGAGCCTGGCAAGCTACCGAAGAGTATCTTGACCGCACAGCAAAGCCTGGCAAGCTGCCCGTGACGTATTTAATATGCCAAACACAGTAACAAGAGATCTCACAATGAAAATGTTACTGGGCCCGCTCGAGCAAATCGATGAACAATGGGAGGACAGTGCTACAGTGCTACAGTGAGTATTAAGTAGTGTCAGAGAAGTTGGGGGTATACAGCAGAGAAAACTGAAATCTGAATTTCAGCCAGTGAGGTCCTTAAATCACTGTGTAATAGGAACAAGTGATTCACTCTTTTAAAATCTTTTCATCTTTAAGATGAAAATCCAGGGGGCAGAGCAATAGTACATTGAGCAGGACACTTGTCTTGCATGAGGCCTCACCCAGGTTTGAATCTCAGTTCTGAATATGGTCCACTGAGCCCATCAGGAGTGATCCCTAAGTGCAGAGCCAGTACCAAGCCCTGAGTGCCACTGGTTGTGGCCCTAAAACAAAAACAAGCAAACAAACAAACAAAAAAGGATGAAAATGCAGACTCAAATCTTTCTAGCTCTAAATTCTTCACTTGGTCCTTGATTGTTTCAATTCATGTTAACAGGAAATGACCAGGGATAAATGTGAGTAACAAGAAAGTTTAAAGAGCATTTTGATATAATTATGTAAAAATTTGGGTAACAATTTCCTAAGCTTTTAAATTTTAAGTTTTCGAAGAGGCAAACTGATGATGGAAAATGATTTTACTGGGACTTATAAGACAGGGGTGTGATGGTTTGATCCTGTTTCTGGCACTGACAAAATGGCTTTGGTGAAAGTTACTTCTGTTTGCTTTCTTCATAAAGAATTTTTTTGGGGAGTGTTTGGAGCCACATCTCAGGCTCAGCTCAGGGGACTATATAGGGTACTAGGGATGTGTGCAAGGCAGGCACCTTACCCATTGTAGTATTGCCCCAATCCTTCTTTATCAAGAAAATGAAGGGCAAAAAAGCACATAACATTGCTTCACTGGTTGATAATATTTTATAGTTAACTAGCATGAAATGAGCAATGGTCTAGCCAAAATTTCACACAAAGATAGAGAGAGAGAGTATGGATTATTTAGTAGCGATGTGACAGATTAAGTATGTCAGTGTGGAGAAGTGAAAGAGAGCTAAATGATGAATTTCCACAGTTAAAGTCAAATGAAGAAATGATTATGCTAGAGACATAGTGTAAAGTAATAAGTCAGATGTTATGCTGAGTAAAACAGGATGATCTCCCTCACATGCATCAATATAATAAAGAACTGATCCACACAACTGAGTTGGAGGTGAGGGGGATAGTTTGAAAGGGAAAGATGTTGGGTTCCTTGGGAGAGGAGAGGGGTTACATTGGAGATGGGTGTGGTATTGGAACTATTTACCTGAGAAACTATTATTAATAGTATTATAAATCACAGAATCTCGATAATGTTTTTTAAAGTAATATATCAATGAAAAGAGTTGAAGGTACTTGACCCTCTGGGGCCAGAACACTAGTACAGTGGATAGGGCATTTGCCTTGCAAGTGGCAGACCTGGGTTCAATCCCTGGCATCCCATATCGTCCCCTGAGCACTACAAGGAGTATTAATTTCTGAGCACAGAGCCAGGAGTAACTCCTAAGCATTGCTGGGTATGGTACAACTGCCCCCCCCACAAAAGTAAGCACTTGACTCTGAAAAAATATTGCACAAATTTTATAAGTGTAATTTTTCTTTTTCTTTCTTTCTTTTCTTTTTTGTTAGAAAAGGGACACCTAGCAGTGCTCAAAAGGTCATGTGGTACTAGAGTTCAAACCCAAGGCCTGCATATATAATGCATGTGCACTAACATTTGAGCCATCTCTCTGGTCCTAATTTTAAAATTAAGTACATATGTAACTGAGATGAAACTTCAAGTGACTATCTCTTGTCCTTTTCTGTCAGACTGCCTACTCCTATTGCGGTTTTTAACAAACATGGACTAGGATCCAAGTTCTCTGCCAGGGGCTAATGACACAAAAGGCCAAGTTCTGTATGTTATGCAGTTTTCAGCTAGGTGTGGGAGGTAGATTGGTTCTCATTAAACAGTGAAGAGAGGGGTGGTGGCCAGACTAGAAAGAAACACAATGTCTCAGTGGAACATGCTGGAAAGCTCTTAAGCCAGGCTGGGAAACAGAACAAACATAAGGGAAAGCTTGCAACTGGAGGGAAATCCAAAGAGGAATCTTGGAAGAAGAATGAGAGTTGAGCAGTACAGGTGACTGGAAGTTGCAGGCAGAAAGGACAAGGGGAGGCAGCAAGTGGAAACCCAGGGCAGGAGTTGGGTGGGGGATACGGGAGAGTTTATAGAATAGAGTCTACCACATAATATGGATGGAGTTTATGGTGATAAATGCACCATCCTAGAACCCACATACTCTGTCAATAAAATAATCTAATCTCAACACCCAGAGAATCACATGAAAACCCCATAAACAGAGAAGTTAGGACTCTTTTTTTTTAAAGACTAATGAAAAAATATGGAATGCTTCACAAAATTCTGTGTCATCCTTATGCAGGGGCAGGGCCAATTTTCTCTGTATCATTCCAATTTTGGTATAGGTGCTGCCAAAGCCACTACAATTAGGACTCTTAATCCTTTATTGCAAAAATCAAAGAGAAATGCTTTGTAGTCATCGGTTCAGTAATTGCATGAACATTTAAACACACAAAACCCCCATTCAGTTTTTTTTTTTGGATGGGGAGGCTGCAGTTATGCAAGTATAACCCCTGAGCACTGCCAGAAATGGTCTCTGAGTACAAAGTAGAGAGTAGCTGCAAGGATAACCAAGTGTGGTCCCCTAACCAAAACAAACAAACAAACAAACAAATAAATAAGTGAATAAGTAAAATAGGAAAAAGAAAATACTTCATAGAGAAAAAAGGACCAAAGACCCAAACAGCTATTTTTCTTAGTGAGGAAATGTACGTTGTTACGGACATGAAAGTTACTCAGACTCCTCAATCATCATGAACATATCTCTGTAAGTATGACCACTGAGACTCCCTGACTCCTCTTCCCCTGCATCAGGCTGTGTCGTAACAGCACATGCTGCAGTTGTTGTTGTATGTCTGCCTTGCTTTTAGAAGCCATTTTTTAATTTGGTATTCTGCCTACCAAATTCTGATGTGGGTGTGTGTTTGGGGGGGGGGGGGGGTGGAGGAATTCCTTCAGAACAACATCCACACCCAACAAGTAATCAGAAATCACAGCATCACAAAGAGAGTCTCTTGTTTAAAACACAATTTAGTTAACTTAAAATATAACTAAAAAACCTAGGAAGGCAGAGAAGCATTGGACAGTAGCACAGAAATCAGGTGAATGAATTGTATACTAGTTATAGCTTAGCTACTTGCAAGCCATCAGCCTGGGCAAGATCCAAAGTCACAGAGCCTTGTTTTCCTCAAGTTTAAAACAATAATAGGTACCCAGGCCCTCCAAGAACAGTGAGATTCAGATAAAACACAAAGCTGTTAGATAAAGTTAAGAAACATAATTTCTTGGACTTGCGTTTTTGCTTCTACAGAATGAAGGAGGTCGTACTTTGACACAATCCCAGGTCATTTTTCAGTTTAAATTTGTTTGGTCAATGTAAAGATACTTTCAAAATATATGAAGTAACATTCAAGTATAAAATGTTGGAGAAAGGCATTATGAAAGATAGCGAATGAGAAAAAAAATCTTTTTACAGCATATTTAAAAGTTGTATCCTCACAATTTTATTCCCAAGTGTCCTTTACAAGCACCAGTCAGCTGAAATCCTGGGAGTAAAGGATGCTGAAAGGAATTTCTAATGAAAGGGTGGTAGCCCAGGGAAGAAATGGCCAGGCAATGCAGACTAAGAAGCAACAAAGGAAAAGAGAAGGAAGGAGGTAAGGAGGAGATTGTGATTATCGTGGAAGCCAGGGGAGGGCTGGGCTTCAACAGAGAACGAACAATAGCAATGAGATCCATCCAAATTAGGACCAAAGAGGATGACCAGGACAGACCCGCAGAATCAAGCACTGTGACTTTGTGAGAGCAAGTCTAAGGACACTGCTGAGGGGCGAGAAGTCCTGTGAGAATACAAGGTGGTGGCAGGAGGCTGGGAGCAGAGTCAGTACACACGGATCATCCTCAGGAGCTGTGCTGTGAAAGGGGTTAGAGTTATATGAATTAGAGTTTAAGTGACGGGAAGGGTAATCCTCACTTCCAGAAAAGTATCAGTATGTGTTTAAATATTGGTAAAGGAGGACCTGGCAGGATGACAGAAAGAAGTCAGAGGATGAAGAAAGTGCCCTGGGGGAGGGGGTGGTGGAGAGAAAAAGGCCTCAGGACCTATCACCATTACCATCACCATCACTGGGGACCCCTCCCCCTGCCCACACCTGGAAGCAGACGAAAGCAAAGCCCAGAGCCCTAGCGCCAGCACATGGTATGGTTTTCAATAAGTATTTGCAGGCTTTGAACTGACTGCCTAAGTCAAAGAGATGATATTATGTGTCCAACACCTCTTGGTGTTTTCACAAGTTGGAGAGGCTCTTGCTGCAGAAAGTGAAGTTATCTCTATAACAAAGGATTTCCAGAAACAGCAGTGTGTCACCAAATAGGCGGCCCTTGCCTGGCAGCTGAGTGGTCTCTGTGCAGACCACATTTCTACTCTGTTTTACAGTTTCAAGTGAGCCCAAGGTAGCCTAGCAAAGAAAATGCAAGGAAATGAAACAACTCCCCCCAACCCCACTCCTATTCTTAGATACAAAAGACAGATAATTATCTAAAGTATTTCTCAATATGAACAGAATAGAAATGTGACCTTTGAGTCTGTGACACAGTCTATTCACGTCAGTGTTTTTAAAAGAAGCAAAGCCATGTCCAGGTTCAGGGAATGCAGGCAGGAGCCAGCTTTTCTCTCCCTTGTGTTACTTAGGCCATAAATAATGGAAAATAGTTTAACAGGCAGCCAGACCCAAAGGCTCAGCCATCCCTTGAGAGTGATAAAATTCTTCTGCTGGTAGACTTACAAAACCTGAGATGCAATGATTTTTTTTTTTAAAGGATATTCCCTTTGCTCAATAAACTTGAATGTTTGAAACCTGAACGATGGCTAGATTAAGAGAGAAATCAATCTGGCATGAAAAAAGTAATCATGCAAAGTGCTGGTAGATTAAGTAAGACATGTAAGAGACGGTATTTAACTATTTAAAAATCATATGCCCTGGCAGACTGGTGGTGTAGCAGCAATACAAGTGTAAAAATGATGAGACTGTACTATTATTAAGAACATTAAATGAAAACTTAAGTATTTAACAAAAGCCATATGCTTGGTTGTTAAAAAAAAAACCTCCACTTCTGGGACCTGTGTGACGTCTTAGGGAAAGAACAAATGTGTGACACCCGGGCTCTGAGACCAAAAAGCAATGTGAGCATCACAACCAGGAGTGCAGCCCCAGTGAGCACCATGGCCGAGTGCACAAGGCTGCCACCCACAATGCAGGGACTCCCCTTTATGACAACAGCAATGGTGGCAAGGGGTAGGGGTGGGAGAAACCCTTCATTTCTAATGTCTTGATTTACTTTAAAACACACTTAAAGGAGCTTTAGGCAGTGATCTGGCTTCTGTTTACAGCTAAAAAAACTGAAGCTTCTATCTAGTCTCTGTCAGTTTATGTTGAGTTTTCTCTTTTTTTGGCTTTTTGGGTTACAGACGGCAATGCTCAGGGGTTACTCCTGGCTCTGCACTCAGGAATTACTCCTGGCGTTGCTTGGGGGATCTTTTGGGATGCTGGAGATCGAATCTGGATGCGCCGTGTGCATGGCAAATGCCCTAGTCGCTGTCCTACCGTTCCGGCCCCATTATGTTGAAAACAGAATATAGAACACATTCTAAAGCTAGAAGTCTCTGACAGATTTATCTATTGTTAGATGGAAATTTGAAACAAAGCATTGTGCTAGGTAATAAGCCAATCCTGTTCATTTTGATAACGATAAAATTTGGATTTCTTGGGGCGAGGAGGGTGTTATTTCTAATTTATGGCATCAAAGTATATAAAAAGTTGCTTTATTCTACTTAAAATAGAAAATAAATTCTACATAAACAGAGAGAGCAAGATACACAAAAACAATTTGAAGGGAAGGCTCTAGGGGAACGGGTCTGAGCAGTCCTGTCCAGTCCTGAGCTCTCCAGTAGATTGGAACTTGCTACCACAGAACAGCTCCATTTCAAAGAAACTGTATCTTGTTCCTTCAAGTGATAAATGTGTGTTTTTTAAAAATCACCAAGCACCTGCTTGACTGAAGGCCGAGATCCAGGATGTATGATAAGGGAGTTACACTGCTGCTGGTAGGGAAGATGTGGGTACGAGTCTTGGGGACATTTTCTGGGGGAAAGAATAACACAGAACTAAGTGTCAATTCTATGAGGAACATTTAGTTCTTGAAGCACTCAGATAAATCATGGGTAGTAAAGAAAGTGACAGTGTAAGTCCAACTCAGGTAAGAATGTTCCACTCTGCAATCTCCTTGGAAACTTCTCCTCTGGGAAGGCCTACATTGCAGGGTGAGCATGTTGGGAATCCAGAATATCCCTCTGTGGATATTCTGAACTTCTGAAGAGTTATTATAAGGTCTGTTTGTGGGGGAGGGGCTGGCACTAATGTGGTACTGTGATTAGGTTTAAGGCAACTGCTCTGCTGTTCTTACTGATTAAAAGAAAGTAACTTCCATCAGTCCTGGTCACATGAATGATGTCTCCCATGGCAACCACAGGCCCAAGGCCGCGTGCTAGCCATACTGATTTGTATTCATATGCTGGCGTGCATGTTCTAGAATGTATTATAGGTTTTAAAATGCAAAGAAGTTTTCTATTAAAAAACAGCAAGTGGGAGGAGTGGGAAACCCTTTTCTTGGTATGGAAATGTTTTAGACAATCATATATTCTGGATTTATAATTCCCAAACAGCAAGGGGCACTCCACGCTAAATATAATAAATGGGAATAAAATAAGTAATAACCAGTTGGTCATCTGTCCTGTTGTGTTGGGGCCATGCTCATTTGTGCCTCTTGTCCCACTGCAATTATTGAAACACCCCTCCCAGTCTCCTAAGCGGAATGGTATGATTGCCCTATTGAATTAAATGCTTCTTTGAAGAAACTGCCAAGGGCAGAATTGGGCTCTACACATCCCACCATTTGTATAAGGATGCCTATATGTCTCCTGTATTTATCTGGAAAGATCTAAAATCCAGAAACCATGTGAAGAGTAACTTTTTGATGCAGAAATTTATTTTTAAAATTTTTAAATTAAAAAATCAGATTTTTCATCTCTCCTTCCTTCCTTCCTTCCTTCCTTCCTTCCTTCCTTCCTTCCTTCCTTCCTTCCTTCCTCTCTCCCTTCCTCCCTCCCTCCCTCCCTCCTTCTTCTGGCAGCGCTTGGGGGATGATATAGAATGCCAGGGATTGCACAGAAAAATGCTATACTATCACCCGTTCCCAGGTGGTATCTGTTTCTTACAGTATCTATGAAAAGTTATTGCACAATAGTCAAATTTTAGTTTTTTAAGGAGCTTCTATAGGCTTGTTGCAAAGGTGGGACAGCAGTG